AATAGTTTCAACCAATCAACGGGCGTAGCCGGGTGTGTACTAGTAGTTTCAACCAATCAACGGGCGTAGCCGGGTGTGTACTAGTAGTTTCAACCAATCAACGGGCGTAGCCGGGTGTGTACTAATAGTTTCAACCAATCAACGGGCGTAGCCGGGTGTGTACTAATAGTTTCAACCAATCAACGGGCGTAGCCGGGTGTGTACTAATAGTTTCAACCAATCAACGGGCGTAGCCGGGTGTGTACTAATAGTTTCAACCAATCAACGGGCGTAGCCGGGTGTGTACTAATAGTTTCAACCAATCAACGGGCGTAGCCGGGTGTGTACTAATAGTTTCAACCAATCAACGGGCGTAGCCGGGTGTGTACTAATAGTTTCAACCAATCAACGGGCGTTGCCGGGTGTGTACTAATAGTCTCACTGACATCCATTTCGTCAGTAACTATTTCTTCACTTCGGCAGTCTCAATGACCTTCGCTTCGGCAGTCGCAATGACCTTTATCTCGGTAGTCTCACTGACCTTTACTTCGTCAGTCTCACTGACCTTCTAATAACAGACACTGACGCTACCTGTATGCTCTAATTATCTGCTTGTGGCATTTAACGTTTTATAGAGACAATCGTCTCTCTTTGCAACGTGTCACGTGACTAAAGAGATCAACCTTTATGCATGCAGAGTCACTAGCTTTTCCCTCATTGCTCCGTTTGATTGTCGTCTGAGCTGAGCCGAAGGCTCTTCGAGCTCAAAGTTTGAAAAAAAAAAACCTGTTAGGTCGTCCAGCCTGAACAGTAAAAAAAAACAAAAAAAAACGTGTGTGAACACACAGTTCTGTTTGAGAGCGACCCGAGTCAAATGCCTATGAAAGCATTGCTGTTTCCAATGCCTTAGGCCCCCGACTCATGGCCGAAGGCCGAGGACACCGGGAGCCTCCGTCATTTTCCTTCACTATACCAAGCTAACCGTGGGGAACTCGCCATTTATGTAACGGGTCCTTTGAGGAACGGCGCATGGATGTGTGACAGTTTTGTGGGGACTTTTTTACAACCCCGCCCGTGCAAGGGGTTGACTCTCGTCTACCCGTGGGCATCCTCACGGGGGTTATGTTTTGCCATTCGTTTCGCCTAGCTACCCCCTCAAGTAGCCGTTTCCACCCAGGTGCCACGATGAGGCAGAACAGCTCACCTGGGCCTCATTGCTCCTACCACTGTAGTAGATAAGGAGTGCAGGAATTACGGATCGCCTGATGCCGACACAAGTTTTAATTTAGGACCTCCACTTTCTTTGAAACCCCTCTAAAAAAAATCAAGAGTGAGTCTGTTATGAAAAAATATATACATATTTGTCGACCCGCGGCGTAGCATTTGCCGGAAGTATTCATGTAGGCAGCGTATTGTTGAGCAGAGTGTATGACTGTACTTCCGTAAAACAAACGGACAGGATGTCGCCATAGTTATTCCAATGTTCGCAAACAAAGCTTACAGCCATCTTGCGAAGTTCGAGAGCAACAGTTTCGTCGTTGACATTTTCCCAGAAATATGCGACTGATAAAAATAAAGTTACCTGATGCAGGAATTTCGATTACATTGAAAGACCTTTTGAGTCCATGAAATATTTGTGAGGCCGTGGCCATGGTTAGTAAACGAAGGGCAATATGAAGGGGCAAATAAAAACAAAGCTACAGAAAAAAAAAACATGACCCCAGATATCGACGTGTGTAAAACACACACACACATACACATAAATGTATTCACCCCAGATATCGACGTGTGTAACACACACACACATACACATAAATGTAGTCACCCCAGATATCGATGTGTGTAACACACACACACACACATACACATAAATGTAGTCACCCCAGATATTGACGTGTGTAACACACACACACACATAAATGTAGTCACCCCAGATATTGACGTGTGTAACACACACACACACACACACATAAATGTAGTCACCCCAGATATTGACGCGTGTAACACACACACACACATACACATAAATGTAGTCACCCCAGATATTGACGTGTGTAACACACACACACACATACACATAAATGTAGTCACAATGTCTAACGTGTAAAGAGAAAGATTACTTGTTCCCTTCCCCCACCTTTTTTTTTTCTGAGCCTTACGTGGGTTAACTCTAGTCCGACTTGCAGAAATAAGAGAGTTATCTTTCCATAACTTTTTCGTGGTGTCCCGGATGGTTGGGCAAAGAAGAGAATTATATCTATAGATATAAGTTGAAGATGAATTATTTCACTATGTTTATACATCTTAATTGTAAGCTATATCAGTTTACCTCTCTGTGTGTGCGATTGTTTTATTTGGTATTCACAAATCATATCTGGTCGTATGTAATGACTATCCCCATATCTCAAATATCTTTGGGCCTTATCAAATCTAAATCCAGTACTGCGTGGATGTTACAGACAAAAAAATATGAACAAGTAATTTTTTTTAATTGATTTAATTTGTAGTATTATTCTATATTCCAGCTTTTATTTTTTCTAGAACTTTTCTGTTAGGTCTACGTTCTTTCACCAATTAATCTGTAGTGCAATGAAAGACACTGTAGCAGTATGAGACTGATAAACAGCTACGATACCTGTCATAAACAGTTACGATATCTATCATAAACAGCTACGATACCTATCATAAACAGCTAAGATCCTATCATAAACAGCTAAGATACCTATTTATATACAGCTATAATACCTTTTTAAACAAAGGATAACATTTTTAGAAAAAAATGGACCTCATTCACCAATTATAAACAAACAACATTTAACCACGTGATTCTCTATCTCTTCTATACAAATTACGTAATACACACAGGCTGTCACGTGACAGTTTTTTTTTTTCATTGTTTTATCAATATTATTAAGTGACTAAATGTTGTTTGTTTACGATTGGTGAATGAGGTCCATTGCGAAACATGGATTTAATCTCAAACATATCATAACTCTAAAGCTCTCTATGTACTAGCTAAGTCTCTGAGTAATGTTGACTCATTGTCTCGTACTGAAACCATTAACCTTGCTTTGCAAAATTATTTATTGTCGATGGAAATACACGAATCAATCAAAAAATGAAAAATTCGTTAGATTTGATTAATTTTGTTTTTAAATAGAAAATGTGTGTGGAATTGACAGATTCCAAGTGCACTTATCTGGATAGATTCTTGTTTACCTACCCATTAGTCTCTTGGACTGCTGGGGCGCTACACAAGATCTTTCAAACGTCTTCATTCCTCTCTGTACTTTGCCTTGGATAGAATTTCTCTCACTGAGAGGCCTGGTCCTGGATGTTGTCTTCCCATTCACTGTCTCTGTCGTTTTCGTCGTCTTCTTCCTGGTAGGCTACTGGGTTTTTTTTTATAATGGTTAGCAGGTCATGTTGGGTCCAATGGCTGTATTAATCCTGTTAATCTCTTCATTCGTGACGCGGTCTTTGTAAGTGACAACTAGGATGTCTCTGTCGCATCCTAGTTCCATTGCTATTATATCCTCTTCTCGAGATATGCAGTCCAGGATTCGCGTTCGTAGGCCTGTAAGAATGAGGCCGTGACCAGGGAGCGTATCATTCTGATTTTAGTGTCGAGGACTTTGCCTTTGTCTGTCCAGATTTTTTTGAGTTTAGCAATTGTACAATTCTTGCCAGTAGTTCAGACAACAGCTCTAAGGTATTTAAAGCTACTGACACATGTTAGCTATTATCGCTTATAAAGACCTGTTGGCTTTTGATCATAGTTGGTGTTTTTTTTTTCCAGCATTGATTTGTCTACCATACCATATGCTGCGGAAGTCTTGTCTATGCCCATAACCAACTCAACTAGTTCTATGTCGTCCGCCAAGAGCAAGTTAGTACATTTTCTTCCTCCAATGCTTACAGAACCATCGTAGCCCTTGAGAGCATCTTACAATGTCCTTTTAAGGATAGATTAGCTGTAATTAAAACGATTTTAACCAATTTGTATTTCAGCTTCTTATAGTCTCTTGGTGTGGGCCAAAATAAAAAAAAATTCTTAATTAAGTCCCCAACAGGACAAATATTCTCTTTACGTATGATATAAAAACTATGTCAATGACAGGAAACCATGGATCTGACTTAAGTCAATCAATTTTCCTGATGTGGTTCCGAAAGGTTATTAACGCCTTGGTTGGCTAACCATCAAGAAGAAAGAAAACTGTGATTCTAAGCTTCTCCTGTCTTGCGGCTATAGCCAAACACGGGAGAGGCTTCGGGAGACAACCGTTCCTTCCATAAATAATGCACAGGCTTCATCTCGTTTATCCAAAGCAACCATGAAAAGTGTTCTACGAGAGGAACCTTAGACTGAGGAGGCCAACAATATGTATGTCAGTGACAGGGAACCATGGACCTAACTTAAGTGAAGCAATTCACCTGATGTGCAATAAGTAATGTCAGTGACAGGGAACCATGGATCACTCAAGTCAAGCTATTCGCCTGATAAGCAAATAAGTATGTTAGTGACAGGAAACCATGAACCTGACTTATGTCAAGCTATTCACCTGATGTGCAGTAAGCTATTGCATGCAATGACGGCTCTACACTGTTGATTCCATGTTTTATTTTTGCTGCAAACCAGTGTCAAAAAAAAAAAAAAGCAAACTAAACCTGTATGGCCATATCACCGGGTCCTCGGAGCTCAAAAAGAACAAACAAGTACCAGGGAAAAAGAAAGAGGCAAACAACGGGTTAGTCATTGAAAGTTATTCCATTCAAGGAAATAGACAGGAATGGAAAAAGATGATCAACAGATCATGAGTTGTGCCACTACGGTTTAACAGACTATGGTAAAGATGACTTAAGCTGCCACTGATTTGAAAAGCTTGATATTCCTCTTCCACCAATTTGTCCAGATCTATATTATCTTTGCATCTTTCTCTTTCATTTACTCTTTCAAACTAACTCTCTTCTTTTTCATGTACTCATCATGTAAACCCAAAAGAAAACAAGAAGAAAAACTGTTTGAGATTTATGGAATTGAATTGTTTGACATTTTTATTTTTACAAATAAATACATTCTTTATTGGACAGTTTTCAAAACTAATTGGTAAGAGACGAAACCACACAAGTGGACATTGTAGGGATAGATATGTGATATACTTACAACAAAGAATTACATCCATAAACTTTGACTTTACAAAGGCCAGAAGTTGGGCTATAATATACACATGGGAACAGATATTGTTACTTTACAGCTCTGGTACATAAGGCCAATGAACAAAGGTTTTAATGACATCTAAATGGTTGCATTGTCCTAGGTTAAAATTAGCTTAAACTTTTGGCATAACTCACATACATAAAGAAAAAAAAACTTTTTGTGTGTGAACAAAAAAAAAGAATATATCTGGAGATAGAAACAAAAGAATAGACTTACAAAAGATGCCATGATGTGTTTAAAATATTACAGTCTACAATCTCCTACAGTTCAATTCTTATATTGCAGAGGATATGTACACATTTATTTATAAGCTTTAAAAAGGTATGAATAAATTTAAAACAGTTTTCTTATAAACCAACATTATACTTTCCATCCATCCCAACTTGATGTGTGTTGATAGATTTGTAGTCCAGTGTGTTGATAGATATGTTGTACTATATGCCTATGCAATATATACATCAATGTTTTGTACCATTTTATATTGTACCATTTGTATTAAATACCAGGAAATGACTAGGGTTCTCTCCCTTTCCATTTTGTGGTTATGTAGAAGAATAAATATGTTTTTTTCTTCTTAGTATAGTCTACTTTGAAAGTGTTGTTGTTCATTCTTCTAGGTTCACAATATGACAATGCAATGGAAAAAAAAAATTGAGTATTTTCCACTGGGTTACCACAAATTCATCTTTTTAAAATTCAGAGTAACAATAAACATTTCTTTTTTTACAGTCAACATGTTACATATTAACTTTTGTTTCTTGACAATAGGGCTCCACAGTCCCATGATATAATGTTCTACCAGATTAACCACAACTGAAGGAAGCCAACAAGACATGAAAAACTGCATCCTTTTCATATCATTAAACAAAAAAATCTTATCAATTCTTTGTCCGGAAACTAGACAATCATAAACATTTTAATGATTTAGAAAACCAATTATAAAAACAGAAAATACTAACAAAAAAACAAAAAAAAAACAAAAAGGAGAAATAAAAAGAAACTTTACAAAACACTAAAACTTTTTTTTTAAACCTACTGTAGCCTATGTCATTTCAATTTTGCTAAATTTAAAGAACATAGATATATAAAAATATTGCAATGTACATATGTAAATATTTTTTTTCTTTGGAATTTTATGTTTGTTTCTTTTTGGCAAAGAAATATTTTACAATAAACAATGGCGCCTTACGACTAGAAGTTCAACATCAAAATAAAAAATAAATTTTGTTAATAATTGGATCTGCGATTTCATGTTAAATAACTATGACTAATTGACAATACATTTACAAACATTTCAAAGTTGTTTTAGGAATAAATCTTTTCTTGCCTAATTACAAACTTTTTCTTATTCTTTTATGTTCTTGTAGGTCTACTATTATTAATGGCAACTTGATAATAATCTATTTATTATTAAATAGCTCATTATGTGTATTGGTACTGCTTCTGCTTTAAAATAAAAGTAGCATATATTCATAATTTTAATATAAGAAAAAAAGTTAGTTTTCAACTCTTTGCATTAGAGTCTGACTAATGCTTTCAGCTTGTAATTAATTAGAGATGTATTAAAATTATTTTTTTTCTAAATTGTTAAATTATAGATAGGCTATTAATAAAAGTGTTTCTTTACTCAATATATTTTGAATTTAAATCAGTTAAGATTTCTTGAAGATAAAAACTGCAGTATGTGTTCTTAATACATTTTTTAAATTAAATAATAAATAAGTGAAGAGTGAGACTGACTCAAAGATAAAATAATTTTCTATAAAAATTAAAAGTTAAGAAATACTCAAGCCAGTTTGACTTTCTAAAATACAAACAATTTGAATTAAATTACAAGGGTCACTGTATGCAGATGTCTATATCAAGCCTTAACCTTATTAAAAATTCTATTTTCAGCTATGAGTACAGTAAATATACAAACTGTAAATATACAATTTTATTTTAGACAACCCCCCCCCCCCCCCCCCCCCCCCTATAGTTTAAACATCAAGAATTTAAACTATCACATTTTCTTAATGAATTGTTGTAAAAAGTTTTTAATGTTCTTTTAAAATTATTACATCCAAGCCCAAAGCACCAGCAGGGCAGCAGAGGATGGTATTAGGCAGAGTTAGAGCTGAGAACCATCCTGACAACAGTCTGAAGTGCATAACCAGACAGCCATGCTGTAAAACTGTCATAAACTAAAATAATGCCATTTTAGACATTTATATTTTTTTTTCCAGTTTACAAACCACAACATTAAATAAATATGATTTGAAAATAATTTTTCTTTTTATTTGTATAGATAGAATATAGAATAGAGTTATTTACTTTAAATTTTCAACAATAAAAAAAATGCCATCTGATAACCAACAATGTACAAAACAAGTTAATTAGGAAACGTTAATTTCATTATAAATTTAAAAAATTTACAAGAATAATGATGTCTACAAAACAATCATCAAATATTTTTTACAAAAATGCTTTACAATTAAAATGAAGTTTTCACACAAAATGAAGCTTATAACACAAAGCATAGAAATATTTGTCCCAAATCTTTTGTTTCAAGACAGCATCAAAATGTAGGTCAGTTTATCACTGCTATGAAACCAGGAGAAATATACAGACATGAATGAATGAGATTGTGGACTCCAAACATGAGAGACTTTCAAATAAAAGCAGAATAAATAACAGAATTAAAAAAAAAAAAATTGGGATCTCAGCCAAATGAAAGATAATGACTTAAAAGTAAAATAAAATACTGTGAAAGACATGTGGTTTATGGGACACAATAGTTAGATACCGATTTGGTAAAGATGTAGTTTAGATGTTACTACAGGGAAGTACAGCAGTACTTGTGGATTTTGAGACACTGACAGTATAAAGAAAAAGTAGTAGAAAATGTACATTTCAGAATTTATAGTTTGTCCATCGTGGTTCCTTGATGACCACTTTGTCATCCAGGGGGCTGAGAGCTCCGCACCGGGGCCCCACACCTCCCCACGCTTTAATTACACCTATTTTTTTTAAAGCAGAACAGAATAACTTTCTACATTCATTGCAATGTTTTGAATCCACTGGGGACAAATTTGAAGAACAAGAGTAGTAGAATGAGTCCAATTATTTTAAGCCTATAGAAAGTAAAAAAAAATAATCTAGATTTCTGATTGATTTTAATTAAAATAATCAGATATAATTTTAATATTTTTGTTATCAACAACCACTTCAACTGTTTTTCTTTTTGTGCATGTTATTATGGACTTATGTGCACAATATAATAATAAAATTGACCTGACTATAAAGATATCATTGATCTTCAATACATAATAAAGTAAAAACTGTTTAGTAACAGAAAAAAGATATACAAAATGCAATGATAAAACAAGCTGTTTTTTAAAAGACTATCTCCTTTATACAACTTATAGAGCGATTAGTTTTTAAATAACTAATGAATTTTACATTTAATAAAAAGTAACATTTTTTACCCCTGCCCTCTTCACAAGAAAAAATCTGTATTAGTCTGTATTTTATAAGATAAAATAAATCCTGGTTTAAACTTTTTAATAAATACATGCAGAAATACCTAAAGGCATAGAGTCTGTTCAAGATAAATATTTTATAGTTCTCTAACCAAAGTTAAATAATTTTTTTTATACTTTGAAAAATAATAATGACTAAACTAGACTTTTTTTTAGTGTGGCCATGGGTTAGAAATTCTTTTCTTAAAAATATACATCAACTGTCAAATATCTAGAAAAATATTGAGGAAAGTCATTGGAGCCATTTTCAAGAACCATGTCCACCAGGTTTTACTCATTCTAAAATTGGAACTGGAATAGAGGTATTGTTATTAAAAATATTTTCTCTAAAAATCTATCAGTATAGCAAAAGATTAAAATCTTAAGTGCTTATTCTACTGAATGTTTTTCACTCGCGATATCCGGTAGACTTATGTTAAACATGAAGGGTCATGTTGACACATGAAAAAATTCTACAAGATGAACCATAGTCATTTGAAGGAAGCCAACATGTTGACATTCTGTCCATTCTGTTTTCTGCTGACAGGTATTGAATATCCTCTTTCTCAACGTTATGTCATGTATTTTTTTTTTTTCGCCTGTTTTTGGTTTTCTTTTTTGTACCATAACATACAGCCAGGACCTGAAAGATCCTGAAAGATGATGATAGGCTCCTTATCATTCCTAAGTCATGCATCAATAAAATATTTTTGTTTGTTTGAAATATTTTGGATGGTCATTTCAACTAAAAATCATTACATCCACACACAAACCTCTTGCTGGATGGCAGGGAATGCAGCGGGCAGAACTCAAACCCAGGACCATTGAGACTACACAGGGCATATCTTATGGCCAGGCAACCATCCTATCACATATATAGGCTTCAGGATATTGTACTTGAATGAACTCAACATAGTTATTAAGAATAATCACACAGTTGAACAATCAAGAAGTCACCGAATTGCAATCAAATAAAAACTGCATCCATAGAACGAGATTTGGTAGGAACATTTTTAAAACTGTTTTGTCCAATTAAATATCTTCTGGGTGCATTAGAGTTCTGATAATTCATTTCAGTCCTGTCCCTCAGTTTTGGTATTGTTTCTTTTTCTTCCGCTTTGGGGTCTCTGTTTTCTTTGAAAGAATTGTTTCTGCTGCTTGCTGCCTTGGCGTATGCTTCCATAGCATCTCTGATCTGGAGCAGCCAGGTATTCTGTGAGTGAGACAGTTGAAAAATAATCAAAATCTCTTTACATTGTAAAATTTCAAGCATTTTATTTTCCATTTCCTAATTGGTTTTCATGACATAATTAAAGAACATTGACCTACTTTAGTAGCATCACACGCTGCCTGAAAAGTAAATGCACCAATAATTTGCTGGAATCTTGAAATATGTACCAAAACAAAACAATGTTTTAACCCATTTACTGTGAAAATAAAAGAAAATTATTATGCCCCTTAATATCATTAATCTAAGCTACAAAAAAAATATTGTTTTTGTATCTGAGTTCTACTTACAAAATATTATGAGTGAAATAATATTCTTAACAAATTTGATTCACTTAGAATCCAAAAAAGAACAAAATTTATTTTTTTTCATTTAGACTAAAAAAGACATAGTATTTTTTTGTATATAGTATATTATTATTAACTCTCTCTCTATAGTTATTTTCTGCACTCTTGCAGAAGGGATTATTCATTTTTTTCATCTTAATAGCATGTTAGGGTTAAACTTCAATAATGTTTTCAAATGTTATAATTTGTAGAGATAAAAGCATCCCATTTTATATAACACAAATCAAAGTTTATGAACCCAAAATTAAGTTAATTTAATGGGGTCAAATAAAAAATGGTAATGTCAATCAGGAGAGAAAGAGTTAAAGGAACAACATTATCATAAAAGCTTAAGTATCCACTACATTATAGATGAAGGTTAAATGTTGCATCAACTTTAAAAAGGAAAATTGTTTTTGCTTACTGATAAAA